TTTTGTATATGCCATTTACTTGCTTTGTTTGTTTCTCTGTTATTTTGTTTTGACATTTCTACTTTGTTTTCAGTTTGACATTCGTTTTGCTGTTTTATCAGTTTTGTTGTGGTCGTAGTCTTTGTCTTTTCTTGTTTTTCTTATATTAACTGTCGCTCTTTCGTTGAGTTGCGCATATGGGAGGAGAAAAAATATTGAGAGACTGAAGAAGAGAGACTTCGAACATGCAACATGTTTGAGAGAGACGAGAGTGGGATTGCTATATGTATGGGTAGCATTGCATTGATGCACATTGCGAATTGTGGTTAACCGGTTTTATTTGGATGACAGTGTTCGTTTTATATTTTATTTTTCCCACCAAAAATTATTGTTTTGGTTTTTAAATGAAAAGGGAAATATAAAAAAATTAAAAACAAAGGAAATGTAAAGAAGTAAAAATGTGTCTGTTAATTTGGGCGATTGCTCTTATCGGGATGTTCGGGATGTACTTGCAATCGGAAGTTCTTGTAATCGGAATTTTTACAAATAAATATCATGTTTACAAAAATCGTTTATTTTGTAACTAATAGTAAAATTCGATGTAGAATAATTTTGTTTTTGAGGAAATACTCCTACGATGCAGTCTGAAGGTGTTTAATTGACACTTTCAAAATTCAACAAAGAATTTGTTGCCAATATTGTTAATTTTATACTGTAAATTTGTTAAAAAAAAGCTATTAAATTTTATATATAGTTTGTTTTAAGACTCAAAGTGAAATGTGACGTAAAACATCATGCTCGAAAAATGAAGTTTTCATACAATTTGCTGAAAAAATACTAGGAAATTTCTAATATTTTTATTTTAATTAATATTTTTTGAATTTTTTTTCCTAAATTGATGCCCATATATTCGGTATACATTATATATACTGATTTCTCTTGTTCAGTGACTTATACTAAAATTTGATGGAGAATATTTGTGTACTTCGTAACATCCTTCTAAAACGAAATATAGTGGAAAAAAATTGGTACAAACTCCAAATAAGATCGATTTAACCCTACAATGAGTTTGTATATTTTTACGATTTTTGACGTTTAAGCTGAATTTCGAGTTTTGATCTATTCTGAGACTTATAGTAAAACTTTATGGCGAACATTTTTGTAGAATATTCGCACATTCTATAAACCGGTTTTAAATGAGTTTTCAATCATTTCTGGAACAGGCGATCTAAATGACCCCTTCAGAGAGTCGACTGAGGGTTAACGTTTTATACAAAAATATTCCTCACATTTATATCAGTATTATTGCCAAAGACACTATATACGTAAAATGCAAGTATGTGCAAAAATCCTTATCCGTATATTTTCAAATGTCTTGGCTAAAGATCCATCTTTTTCAAAAATGTATTTTCAACGACGTAGATAATTTTTTGGCTCAATCGGTACATAAAGACCAGCCAAGAAGCATTGCAAAAGCTACTAATGATTTCATCATTGGTCCGCACTTCCTCAAAGATGTTGCGAATAAGAACTGTGAATGGTGGACACAATCGTGAGATGATATCCAACTTTTTCCCCAAAATGCCCAAGAGCTTGGCTTGCATAACATGGCTTCCGGAATTTTTGGAAATAGTATACCAAAATTGGATATATTAGGTTAGGGAAAAAGAACTCCATAACTTTTTCGGCAGATGTCTGTACTGATAGATTTCTCGTAAAGTATAGATTAAACAACTTCAGATTTATGCTCATTGGAAGGGTGACATTTCACCGTAAAGAGAATATTTTGCTGTTTTTTGCTTGGAGCATTTAGTTGTGAGTTACAGGGTGTTTAAAATGGAAGTGAACAAAGAGAAAATTCGATACATTTTACAGTTTTTCCTTGATAAAGGCAAAAATGCTGAACAGCCAATTATGTGCAATTTTGGTTTCGTAGATACCGTTCAGGAATTTTTGATGTTAAAAATGCATCTCGCACAGGAAGGCCGGTCGTCGAAAATGTCCATAAAATCTGAGAAATGATCGAGAAATGCCTTTAAAATGACAACAAAACGGAATATCCGATTTGTCAAGTTGCTATTAAAAAATGTTATTTGCAGAATACCTTAAATGTCTCCAGGTTATTTAAAGCTTTTTGATATTCTCAGAACTGTTGACATTTGATAAGAATCGTTTTTATACCCTCAGCCTGTTGGCTAATGGGGTTATATACACCTTGATACGACGAAAATGTGCTTTATCAAAAAAAAAAAAAAATAGACCCCACGTTTCCTTTGGACCAAATTTGTTTCACACAATTTGAATTGGCCCGTCAGTCTGCCGATTTCATCCAAATTTTGCACTTCGTAATATTTTTTCAAACTTTGTTCTAGTTAGAAGATGATCAAATTTTAATTCATTTCGTAATATCATGCAATAGACTATCAAATAGACTATTATAGACTATACCTTAAATGTCTCCAGGTTATTTAAAGCTTTTTGATATTCTCAGAACTGTTGACATTTGATAAGAATCATTTTTATACCCTCAGCCTTTTGGCTAATGGGGCTGATACGACAAAAATGTTCCTTATAAAAAAAAAAAATTAGACCCCATTTTTCTTTGGACCAAATCTATGTCACACAATTTGTATTCGTCCGTCAGTCTGGCCGATTTAATTCAAATTTTGCACTTCGTAATATTTTTTCAAACTTTGTTCAAGTTGAAGGTGGGAAAAATCGGTCCATTCACTCTGAGACGTACCCACAAAATGGTCAAAATTTTACTGAAATTCTCATTCATGCGATTTGAACCAAACTTTGCACAACCTTTACCAAACCTAAATCAATTCCCAAGATGAACCCATTGATCCACACCTTCTGGTACCTCCCCCAAAAAGTGTCAAAATGTTTAAAATTTGGTAATCCTACATCAAGCGAATGGTTGTCAGAATTGATCCAAACTTTGAGCATAGTAATATTTCTTTTAAACTCAAATGAAGTTCGAAGATGGGGATACCTCCCAGCAAAATTAACATTTTAACTAAACTTTGTGAAACCTAATATTTTAACCCTGCCTGTATAAAACGGCATTTACATTAGAACTTTTTACCGGGTTAACCTGCTTTATGAGGATTTATTTGGCATATATTCAAAGGAATTGACAATTAAAACCCACAGGGTTAACGAAATCCAGTACAATGTAAACGTACAATAATGTTGGAAGATGGGACTTATCGGTCCTCTCCTTCTGGTACCACCTCTACAAAGACACAACACTTTGAAAACTTTTAAATCTCATATGGAGCGAACGGAATATCCAATGACGTCCAAATTTTGCACATAGTAATATATTTATCTTACATAGATCCAGCTTGAATATGCGTCCCGTTGGACCACTGCTTCTGATACCTTCCCCACAAAGTGTAAACATTTTGAAATCAATATCATGATAATGGAATGTCTTGTTTGATGGAAACTTTGTAATATTTTTCAAAACCTACATTAAATTCTAAGATGGCGCGTATAGGTCTGGAACCTCCCCTCATATGTAATACGCTCTGCGAGCGTTTCTTCAAATCCTCCGGTTTGGATTTTTCACGTTAAACTCTTAAAGCGATCAAATCGTTCCCATTTCATTGTCTTCAATTTTGAGAAAAAAAGCAAAAGGCAGCGGTGGCCAAGTCCACGCAGACCTATCGATGTGTGAGCAGGTGCAAAATCAATGATTGGATTTCACAATCCTTTCTGATGAATTTCTTCGCACAAACGGCGCTTGACTTCAAGATGGTATATCTTATTGACTGTACGACATTGTAGCAAGAATTTATGATGCAACACGACATTGCAGTCGAACAAAACCAAAGCCTTCAAATTTTTGGGCGAACGTGACGTATTTTTTTTTAGTTCGTGCACTTCTGAACGTTTCCGTTGGAATGATTTGGCTTTGATTTCCGTACACCCCTGATTCGTTATCAGCTATGACGTTTTTGAGACATCCCGAGAGGTGTCCATGCGACCAAGTCTTCCTTAAACCGGATATACCACAAATAAACTTGTTTTCTGGTCTTAGCAGAACGCATAAGGCAACATTTCAAATGTCCTTCGGCATTTAATTCCTTCGGTCCATTTTTTTTTTCAAATAATAACCAGTAAGTAAGGGCTTACTATATGATATATATTGGATCTATATCCAAATCTGTGGGTCTTTGGTACACCATTTACGTAAAATCGGACAAAAATATAAGTGGGTGCCATATCTAAATATAAACCATTTTCTACAATTTCAATATGGTTCGTCCTTGGGCCAAATAAGTAAACTACGCCAAATTTCATCCAATACTGATCATAAATGCGACCTGTACTTTGTTTACAATTTAACATGGAGACATGCATAAATCGACTTAGAAAGTGATTCTATGCATATTCTCAAAAGGAACCATGTGCCTATCTCCTTTCCTTTTGCCTGTTACAAACATATGCACAAAGACATAATACAGTGTGGTGAAGGGTCCAGCTTTTGGGGAAGTCCCCTTTCCCATGTCTGTTTCCGTTATATTTTCGGGTTAAATTTTGGACTCTAGGCCGATGAGAAAAACAAAAATAAAGCTCGAACCGGACATACATGAAAAAATTTCATAACTGTGGCCTTAATATATATTAATTATTAATATTTTAATAAATTGATATTAATATTTTTGATCGTAACTCTGATATACACATATGTAAATACAATTAAAATTATCACAAATACTCAGTTTTACATAAAAAAAATTATATACATACATATTTATATATTTCTACTTAAAAAATTAAAACAATTACATATTAATTTTCTATTTAATTTACGTTTCACTTTCAGATAATTTACAATAACCACAGTAACAGCAAAAACAACAACAAATTAAAGATGGCACAACACGCCTGAAATGAATATCAATCATACAAATGAGTCAATAAAACTCGACTCCCTCATCCTCCTCCTACTAGTATTATTAGTTATTACTAGTGCAAGTAGTATTAGTAGTAACGGTCAACGTAACGCATCGTTAGCGACGCGTTCTAATTTCTTTTCCAATCGGTTAAAATAAAAGCCACAAAATTAAACGCAACAATAGACCCTTTGACCCCCATACATTCATGAAAAACATGGATAAAAATGCGGGTGAGGGTGGACAACAAAATGATGGAAGTAGCGGTGGTGGAGGTGGTGGCGGCGGTGGCAGTGGTAAAGGCGGCGGTGGTGGTGGCAAAGGTGGTTCTGGCGGCAATTCAGCTGCCGGAGCGGCTGGTGGTGCCCATGATCCGGCGGCTCTGCTAGATGCGGCCTCTTTATTTGGTGAGTAGAAATGGATGGGGATGATTAGGAAAATATTATACACCTAAGTCTGTTTTCACACGGTAGATTGGTTCCAGAAGAAGCCGTGTAAAAAAAAAACCTGTAAAAAAGGGAACTCCCCTAAATTAGTGCTATTTACATTTGTTTTGACCAGTAAAAATTGTTTGTACGCGCTAAAGGTGAATTCACTTAAATCTTTAAGCTAGTGTTCGCAAACTATCGATGTTTCAGACTTTTTTCTTTCATAAATACTTTTTTGTGATATGAACATACTTCGCAAAAATTAAATTTGACAAAAAAAAGTACATACAATTTTAAATCTTGCTAAATGGAAAAAATCGTGTAAAAAAATAAAAATATTCAATTTTCAAACCATGTTATATCAAAACCGTGTACAAAAAGACCGTGTAAAAACAGACCTAGGTGTATTTAAAAAAATTAAATTATATTTATGTCCCAAAATTTGTTTGAATGAAGAATTTTAATTTTACACATTTTTTTGTTTGTTTTTATTTCCCAGCTTATTGGGGTCGTGATCCTGCTTCTGCTGCCGCAGCTGCCTCAAATCCTTTGTTCAACGCACAATTTAATGCTGCCGCAGCAGCTGGCCTAGGTTTATTACCCAATCCAGGTGGTGGTGGTTCGGCCAATGATCGTTATTCGATGGCAGCGGCCGCTGCTGCCGCAGCAGCTGGACATCATCATCAGAACACAATGGCGGTGGCAGCATCACAGGCCGCCAGCTTGGCGAGCCTTCATCCAGCAAGTGAGTTGTTGTGTAAAGTATTGAAGGAGTAACAACACAGGAAAAATGGTCAACAATATTTAATAAAAAATAATATTTACAAATATTTATTTTTTTTTTAATTAATATTGAAAGGAAGAAGATGAAAAATATAGTCAGGGTTGTGTTTATAATTTTATTTCCCCTATATCTGAAGAAGAAGAAAAAAATACGAACATTTGATTATCCCCATTTTTTTAAAGAAAAATCTCCACACCAAAAATACCTTTAAATTGTTTAACAATCTGGCATCACTTACCATTTTCGGTTCATACATCAAACATGTTGCATCATACATTTAGTTCACATCAAAGTTTGAGTAATTATTTTACCGTATTGTGTTCGAACCTTGGGTTGGTTGAACTGTCTAGCGGCTTGTGCGTTTTGTTGTGTGCAGAAAACTTGCAAACATTTCGAGGTCTCAGGTTCGAATCCCCGACCGTTGATTCTTCTTTCTCCTTCTTCTTCTTGGGGTAAAACAGCAGACACATTTGAATTTACAAGAATGTTGTTTGAAGAAAATGCTCCTAGAATAAAAAATCAGTCCATATTCAAATTTGTTGGGAATTTATTCCCGACAAATAAGGAATCCGAGAAATGCATCTCAATTCCGGTCGAGTGTGGGTGGTTGACAAATCTTTATTTTATTTTTCAATTATCTTTTAGATGTTAATAATTAAATTGAAAGGAAGTTTTTTTTCGATTTAGCGAATCCCATTGAAAATTGGGCTCATTTTGAAATTTTGAAGAATTTAGTCGCATTTTCAATCGGAAAGGGTTGTTATTTGAAGTCCTTTTATTGCCTATTTAAAGGTCCTAGCCGTATTTTCCTTTTATAGGAGGCATTCTTTTCCTCGGAGCACAAAATATGTCCTGACATAAATGTTTCAATGGGGTATTTTGAAAGTCACAGACTCTTTTTCCAAACGAAGAGACTGCAATTTAAAGTCTAATTTGCTCTGAGCATAAAAGACCTACTTTCAAAAAATGTCAAACTATGATATAGCCTTCATAAAAGGTACAGGCCGAATTTAGGTATTTTTGAGGTCCTAGCCTCACGAAGTAACTGTAATTCACAGTTTCACTGGCTCCGAGGATAAAATATCTCCTTCCAAATACAATTTAATTTGCCCTACGATAAAAGACCTCCTTCCAAAAAATGTCAAAGAAATATGTTACTATGCCATAGCCTCCATAAAAGGCACAGGCCGAATTTAGGTATTCTTGAGGTCCTAGCCTCACGAAGTGATTGTAATTTACAATTTAATTTGCCCTGACCATAAAAGGCATTTCGGTTCCTCAGAGGGTCAATATATGTTCATGTTTTAAATTAAAATGAACCCATATATCAATTCGGACGATCTTAGTTATTTTACAGCGAATTCGCTCTGATATGTCATATCACTATCTATGAAAAAAGAAAGCTTTGAAAGTAAATCTGTGCCTTTAGGTATTTTGAATTGATGGAATTGGTTGAAGTTTGGAATTTCTGTTTCTCCGATATTTCTTTAGATCAATTTTTCCAATATATCAGTGCCGCATGATTCAGATATTTTTGAGGTCCTATTCCCATTTTCAAACAAAAGTGGAGTTATGGAATCCTCCTTGTCTTCCAAATTCTATTGTTATCTTTTTATTACGACGAAGGTTGGTAAATGTTCTGATCGGTCGAACTTAAATCCACTTGTATTATGACTTACGTTCTAGTTTTTATGAAAAATTATATCAAATTTAATTTAAAAAAAAAAAATATTTCAGAATTTTGTCTCTTAAAAATATATTAAAAATTGTAAATAACCTCCATAAAATCTCCAAAATTAACCCCCCTGTTTTTTTTTCGATTTTCCCTCCTTTCATTTACACTACAGATTGGTGGGCTGTCACCCAACTAGCTGCCCAAGATTATTTCAATCGTTTGCAAGCATCTGGTCTAACACCTTTTCCACATGATTTGGCGGCGGCATTTAATCCAGCCGCATTGGGTTTAGCTGGTGCTGGTGGTGCAGCGGGCAGTGCCGGAGTTGGTGGTGCTGCCGGTGGACAAAATGCCAATTCTGGTGGTAATGCCGGTTCAACAGGTGGCAATAGTAACTCGTCCGGTGGTGGTGGTGGAGGTGGCAAATCAAGTAGTAAATCCCGCAAAGAAAAACAACGTCAACAGCAGCAGCAACAACAGCTACAACAACAACAGCAGCAACAACAATCATTGGCCAATAGCTTGAATGCAGCAGCGGCGGCAGCTGCCGCAGCAGTGGCAGCCAATCCCGCGGCCGCTCTATCAAGTATGCATGGTCTGGTGGGTGCCGGCACAACAATAACTCCATCATCGGGCCTAGGTGGCTCCGGCGGCGGTGGTGGTGGTAACAACAATAGCGGTAGCTCTAGTAATGCCTATAAGGTAGGTTTGCCCCCTTTAATATTTTTCCAGGAAAATTTATCTAATTCCCTCCTCTTCTTCTTCGTTCATTTTTGTTATTTACAGAACAACTCATCCAATTTTGGCAAATCGTCATCATCATCATCGTCCTCATCGAATCAAATACAGGTTCAATTGCCTCCACCACCTGGATCGGCATATGATCCGGTACAATTGCATAAAGAATTATTGGCCATGCAACAGGCTGCAGCTGCAGCAGCGGCCTCTGGTGCACCAAGTTCATCAAAGAAATCCTCATCCAAACAATCAAATAACAATTCATCAACGTCAGGTAACACTTCATCCTCTTCTTCTTCTACTTGTTCTACTTCTACTACTTCCCATCATCACTTAACTGGTGGCTTAAATACTTCATTACCCACTAATGTTTCATCATCATCATCAGCGAATCTAATATCACCGCATGGCTCAATGGGGGGCGGTGGCAGTGGTGGAGGTGGCGCTGGTGGTGGTGGCTCCAATTCTTCTTCCTCATCATCCTCGCGTGACAAGAGCGCCGCCGACAAGAACAATGCTTCATTGAACGCTTTGAATTCCCTATCGCAATTTGGTGCATTGTGCATGACACCGCAGCAGAGTATGCAGGCAGCGATGAATGCATTTGCTGCCAGTAATTCAGCGGCAGCTGCTGCAGCTGCGGCTGCTACATCAGGCAATAATTCTGGGGGAGGTGGCTCAGCCTCTTCACAAGCTGGAGGCAATAATAAATCTTCTAAAGATTTCATACCAACTGGAGGATTAGGGTAAGTGCTGTGAAAACACCAACGGAGATCCGCAGAACTTCAATTGTCATTTTCTCTAATTTGCAGTGACCACCCCTCATTGCTGGGAGTACGCTTGCCACCCGATACGGAGATCATCAAATACACCTCATCTATTGTGGGCCCCAAAATACCCGGTACTACTTCACGTGGTCGTAAAAAGACCATATCAGATGAACAAAACCAACTACAACAACAAAAAATTGACTTAGATTCAACAACAAATGCTCTTTCCTCTTTGCTTGCATTTCCAGGTCTTAGCCCAGCGAAAAGGGCGAGACTCGAAATGGAGTATGCTGCCATAGCGGCGGCGGCCAATGCCGCCCAACAACAACATCAGCAACAGCAAAATGCTGCAGCCGGTGGCAGTGGTGGTGCTGGCGTTGGCGGTGGTATGGGCAATTCAAGTGCCACCGGTTTGCCGGGTAATCTGACTGCCTCACAAATGGCCGTTTTGAGTGGTTCATTGGGTGCGAACAGTACAGCAACACCGGGCTCCTCGACATCGGGTGGTTCGTCGCAGAACACCCCGCATCTGGATTTGACCGGCCCCAGCAGTGGTCGCACCAGCCGTGACTCTTCCACCGATCGTGTAGAGGTCATTAAATTGCCACCTACTATTACCTCAAATGGAGCGTATAATTTATCGAATAAAAATAAAGATATCCACGATCTGACCGGTAGTAGTACAGATCTGAGTTCGGGTGTTAATCTTAGTTTGAAGCCAGCTGCCAGTTCGGTATCCAGCGCAGCAATGGCCAGTAATCAGAATGTGATCGGTGCCACAATAACCATTGATGATTTCGATGCACCCCTTAATTTGTCCATGAAACCGGATAAATCATCATCATCGAGTAATGATTTGTCTGGAGGTGCCAATAGTGGTGGTGCTGGAAGTTCGGGTAATTCGGGTGCTTCAAGTTTGCAAAGTTTGAGTTCTATTACAGCTGCCTTGGGTGGCGGCGGCGGTGGTAGTGGTACGGGTGGTAGTGGCTCCTCGGGCAGTGGAGCTGGCGCCACTGGCAATAGTTCCAATTTGGGAGGTAATAGTAGCAGCAATTCATCGACGGCCAATGCATCAAATGATCGATCCTCACAACCATCCAACTTTAAAGAGGGACGGCCAAGGAATTTGGGTCGTGGTGTGTCAAAGCCCAAAAAGAATACCGTGGCATCGTTGCTGGCCCAATCAAGGGCCGTTGGTATCAAACCCATGTTGGCCACTCAACAGTTATTGCAGCAGGGAGCTGATATTGTAAGTCCTTACCGAGAAGGAGTTTAATAAAGGAGGTTTTCTACAATGTAGTTTTTTTTTTCTTTTTAGGAAAAAATCCGTCAGGCTTTAAGCGAAGCCAATGCTCAAATGGAAGTCTCAACTGACTCGGAAAGTGTGGCTGCCGAATCGGGACTTTCTGAATCTGAGACTGAAGAACCGAATCTCTTAAATGTAACAGAACTGAGAGTACCACTCGACTTAGGCTGGAAACGTGAAACCGTAATACGTGGCCTAACCAAGGCGGGACAAATTAAGGGCGAGGTTACTTATTATGCACCGGGTAGCAATGTACCCCTTAAGTCCATTGGACAAGTTTTCTCTGTGAGTTGTTTGTAGATCAAAAATTTTAGTAGAACCACAAAAGACAAAGATTGAAATGCTATATGAGATATTTCACATAAGAAATCCGGAATTTTAATTCATTGTGTGTGTTTTTTGTTTGTTTTCTTTAGTATTTGGAAAAGAATCCCTCAAAATTATTGCGTGAAAACTTTAGTTTTTCGGCCCGAGCCATTGTGGGCACGTTCCTGCAACCGGCTCCACCACCTTATGCCAATGATGGGGAATATATACGCATGACCGATGAGGATGTGGCCAAACGTTTGGAAGATTTGAAAATATTTACACGTCAGACATTAAATGTCGAAGAACGTATACAAATTGCCAAGCAACAACAGGCTCTGCGGGATGCTAAAAAGGCCCAAAAAGAAGAAATGGCACGAAGTAAGGAGAAGGCACGCCAAGAGAAAAATGAAAAGTTGGAACAACAGAAACGTGAACGTGAACTGAAGAATCAGCAAGCCATTGAGGTATGCCGATATTTAATGTCTTATGAATTATATAATAATTTATGTTTATTACACTTTAGGCCCGCAAGAAAAAACAAGAAGAGCTGGAACGTTTGAAACAAGAGGAAATACTCAAAAAACAACAGGTTGGTATTATATTTTTATGAATTTTTTTTCAACAAATTTCTACAAGTTTTAATTATTTAGAACATCTTTTGTTTCTATCTTTGGGCTTTATAATGTGTTTGATCAAAAATTATACCAGTTTTTTGTTCTTGAAGTAGACTCAAAAATTTATTCTGGAGTATTTTTCTTTTTAATTTATAAACAATATTTGGTTTTACGTTAAGTTGTCGAAAGCTAATTTTAATACTGACATAAAGGCAAGAAGGTTTATCTTCTCAGTGACATGAGGAGGCACTCTGGCGGCTAGCCGCAGACCGATCTGTTGTTTTATATTAGCCATGTGATAGGTTGGGTTAGGGATGTATGGCTGCTGATTGCAACCGCGTTCGCTTAGGATCTGCTTGGGGTCTATTCCGGAGAAGAATGCTGAATTATCAATTTCATATTTGCCAAACTGTCTGTGTCTTCTGCCACTCAGCGATGTACACCTACAGATGATATGTTCAATTGTTTCTAGCTCTCCCTCATCTTCAAATAGACCGTCTATGATAATGTCCCATTTTGAAGTGAGAGATCTAATACTGCGGTGACCTGTTATGACCCCCAAAACGATTTCTTATTATGGGACAACAGCGAAGTTTGACCTCAGCCGCTTTCGTGATTGCCAGAATTTCTGCTTGAAAGACGCTCCAAAGATCTTTAAGTTTATATGTGTTATAGATTTCTAGTTCCCTGCAATAAACGACCTTCATCTTCGACCCGTCTTAAAAATCGACAGACCGGCGGTCAGAGGTAAGGGGCCATCAATCCAGGATTCCCTACTAGGAAACTCTACTCTCATGCCATTAAAGTCCCTATGAGAGGGAGTATAGACACTGATGTGACTACTCCTCTCCAAGATGTCACAACGTCGTGTGAAAGATGCTAGCATGGCCAAAATTCAGCGACTTCCAGCCATCCGTTTCCCGAAGCCTCAGAGCACATCTAGCAGCCTGAAATTTAACCAGAAAGACCAGTGGTTGGAGGTTCAAGATTGTATTCAAGGCTGCTTGTGGTGTGCTTCTTAGCGCTCCAGTTATCAGGATCGAAGCCAATCGCTGTACGGTATTCATTTTGGTCAGCAGTATCAGCCATGTGATAGGACAACATAGGATAGGACAACATAGCTGGTGCATGTTGTCCTATCTGAATGCTAGGCAAATGACTTTTGCATGTTTGAAAATTTTGCTTCTGTTATAAGGACTTCAAATATTCCGTTCTTCCAATCAAGTATTGGGCAGTTGTCTGAAAAAATAATTGGTAAACTCTAAAATTGTCTTACCAATTTCAGAGATAATAACATTTTTTGGTCTGATAAGTAAGAAGATTATGGCGAGGAGATTATGACGAGGAGGTCTATCTAGAATAAAATCTCCTAGCGTCAGACGGATGTTACCATTCAAAAAATGTTATCGCGGATGTATGGAAATTAATAAGAACAGTAAAGAATTGTGTTCTAAAATTCCTATTTTTTACGAAATTATATTGAAATTCCCTAGAGTAGGATGGATATAGATTCAGTCGAACCCTACATATTTTATTTTTTCAAAAATGAATTAAAACTTTGTGTAAATTCATGTTCCGATGTTGTAGCTTCTTTTTTTCATTTTCAAATCTTATTTTTTATGTATTTTTATACCCTACACAACTATGTTGTCAGGGTATTATAGCTTTGTGCAGCCCCAAATGTTTGTAACGCCGCGAAATATTGGTCCTAGACCCACCTTTAAGTATACCGATCGTCATATCTCGACTAGCTGAGTCGATCTAGACATGTGTGTCCGTCCGTCCGTCCGTCTGTCCATTATAATTTGTAAACACGATACAGGCCACAGTTATGGACCAATCTTCACGAAATTTTGCATGTAGGATGGGTTCTGGCCAATGAAGACCCCTATTGTTTTTGGAAAAGATCGGTTAATATTTAGGGGATGAAATGGACCAAATACTAAATTTTTGTCGGTTTTTCTGGTCGCTCCAGAGGCCGCAATTATGGCCCAAACACCGCGAATTTTTGCATGGAGAAGGGGATCGGGCCAGAGAATAAGCATGCATGTTTTGATAAAGATCGGTCAATATTTAGCGGGTCAAATGGACCCTGACTTTTGTGTGAAAAATGGCAAAATTTGTATTCTATGGCATATATATTTACTCCTGGAGGATGTAGACCCCAGGAGTTGATAGCACATCCAAGAGGAGTGGTTGGCCTTTAAATTGATACCAAATATATATCTACTCAGATGTGGGAGTTACAGTCAAATATTTACAGGTGCTTACGTATTCAGATATTATTCAGTAACCCATTACCACATTAGAGGGAGAAATAGTTCCAGTTATGGTCAAGAACAACGCCTATAATTTTCGGTGATGATCAGATTAAAATTTTGGGATGAAATGGACCGAAAACATAATTTTTTGTGTGTTTTCGAGTAGAGTATAATCCGAAAATCACAACGCAACCCACCGTGGAGGTAATCTGGACAAGTAATTAGAAGGACTGTACTGAATATTCGAAAAAAGTAAGGAAGGGGTGTTGTTAACCTCTAATCGGACAAGAGGGGGCAAATATCACGAAATATTACTCAGACTCGGAATAAACATCCTCAGAAAGTTAGAGTTCGTGGTAGTTGTGTAGGGTATCGCATGGTCGGCCCCGTCCGACTATACTGCTCCGCTCACTGGTTCTTCCTTTATCCTCATCGTTTCCTTATTTCAATTTAATCTTTTGTTTCCAAAAATGAAATAACCAACTTTATATGAAAAAAACTAAATGTTTTATAAATATTATGAACATTTTTTGTTTAGGAAAAGGAAAAGAAACGTCAAGAAGCTATTTTAGCTAAAGAACAGGTACAACCAAACAATTAATTAAATAATTGTCTATCCATTCATGCATTCTTTAATTTTTAACCACCACTACCTATATAATAATATTGACTACAATTTGAAAACACTTTGTAGATATTCAAAAAACATATGTACATCATATTCTTGTTCTTTAGAATAGAGTAGTTAATCACTCAAATTCCAAACTGAACGTAGTTTTTCCCCAACAAAAAAATCTTTCTTCTTTCTTCTTTCTTATGTGTTACCGTCGCTCGCTATTTATAGCAAATTTTAATAAATTATGTTTTCCCTTACCCTACAGGAACTTCAACGGCAAAAAGAAATGCTATTAGCTGCCGAAATGGAACGTGAACGAAGGCGCCAACACATGAATCTGATACGCCAACTGGAGATACGCCGTAAATTTGAAGAGCGTGAGAAAAAGAAACATCAAATGGTCTTGGATCGTTTGATATTGCGTGAGAAGCGTTTGGCAGCACGTAAACGTGATGCTGAAATTTTAGCACAAATAAGGTGAGATGAGGTGCTGTTAGAATAACAAAACAAAAACACACAAAAGGGGTTTCTCGAGCTTGGTTGTTTTGTGTGTATTGTATTGGGATTTAGATATTAATATGTTTCTCTCTCACCTATTTCTTGTCATTAGGAAACCCCAAGAGGATTCTGAATTGGTACAAACCAATCAAATACCAGATTTGGAACGTATTGCTGGTAATCGTTTGCCCGGTCAGGCCATGGCTGATTTGTTAATGGTCTTTGAATTCTTGCACAATTTCGGTGAAACTCTAGGATTTGGTAAGTCACAGAGACATCCCTTCGCCTCACACTTCAAACATTTAATAATTCATCTTCGATTGTTTTCAGATATGGAATCTCTGCCCACTCTACAAAATCTCCACGATGCTTTGGTCAGCGACAGTAATGCCGATGCCGAAGAAGAACTCTTGTCTGTGATGACCCACCTGTTGGTGTGCGCCATAGAGGATCCCGGCATACCGAATCCCGGCCGACACACCACCTTGCTTGGACAATCTTTACGTAATGCCGACATCACCAATTCCAATGTGGCGGAAATTTTACGTATCTATTTGTATGCCACTGCCACCGGGGAGATACGCCAAATGTTCGGTGTAGTTATGGATCGTGAACGTGAACGTCGTGTACCCGATCATCATCAAATCGATTCCGAGACCGTGGTACATTCGGGCAAAAATGCCGAATACTATAAACTGTTGCATGAAAATGAAACCTGGAAATTATCACAGGCTCTCAAGGATCGTCCATTTGTCGCCTTGAATCCAACTAAAAAGGCCCAGATATTGGCCCATTTGTGCAATGATTTACTCATGAATAAGGCCGTGTTGAAGCAGATCGAGAACAGCATAGAGACATGTAATCAAATGCGCAAAGAGAAATATATGACTGATATGAAGGTGAGGAAATACAAGGCTCTGCATATGCGCAAGTCACGCATTGAGGCCTATGAAAAATTACAAGCCGAAAGGGAATCGGCCATGCAGGCAATGGCTGCACAGCAAAAGTTGGATGCTGAACGCCAAGAAAAGGAAAATGCCGAAAGTGTGGGTGGTCCCAATAACAAAGAGGCGGATAATGACGGCTCGGCCAGAGGAGAACAAAATGCAAACCCCGATACTGGCCTTGGCGAGCAAAACAACAATGCCAATAACAACAAATTGGAAAGCATGGATATTGATGGTGATACATCTCCACAAAAACATCCACTTGATAAGGATATGAATAACCTGCCCGCCGGTCCATTGGATGATTCGAAATTAATGGGTCTATCGTCATCGGATATCACACCCACCAAAATGGCCAAATTGGATGATTTGTCATCTACCTCATATCACAATGGTGGTGCAGCGACGGGAGACATCAATGCCCTGTTGGCTGGTAAAAAGGTGGGTGGTGATGACGCCTGCACCGATGGTGGCATGGATGAAGATATGTCTGACATAGAATCAGAAATGACAAATGCTGAAGAAGATGAGGATAATCGTTTATCGGCCGATGAGCTACAAAAGAAACTTGATAAAATCATTAGGGCTTCGTTGAATTGCAAAGAAGTTCTGGAGAAATCCACAAATCAATTGCGGGCCACATGCTTTGGTCAGGATCGTTTTTGGAGACGTTATTGGCGTCTGCCCAAGGCTGGTGGTATTTTCATAGAGGCATTGGAATCGGCACAGAATGATATATTCCAATATCAAGAAATATTGGAACAGGAGGCAGAAGAAAGGAAACTCAATCAACCGTCATCTGATGACATTCGTCAAGAAGAAGAAGACGAAGAAAATGAGGAAACCAAGGATGCCGCAGTAGCTGAAATTGAAGGAAACACTAATGAACTTCATGAAAACAAAACCACCGCAAACAATAATCTTGACAATGATGTGGAAATGACAAATGCAGAAGTCACCACAAATAACGAAGTTACAACCACAACAACAAACACAAATACAAACGCAAACGCAACAACAGAAAACAACACCGAAGACTCAGATGATGATTGTGTTGAAACCAATCGTGTAGAACCAGAAATCGTTGATCTACGTGATGATGACGATGATGATTACGATGTGGCCATAAAACCCCAAGCTATACAAATTGATAACAACGGTGCAGCTAAGGTGGAGAAACCAGATGCTGCTGGTCTGCTACCACCACCGCCTCGGCCGAGTGCAATATCCAACAATCCAAATTCCGCTGGCCTTTCCAACAATCCTTCGATGGAGTTACCAATGACAGAAGATATCGAATTTGACATCAAAATGCCCCCCGCCCCTGCCATGGCCTCTCAGAATCTTTCTCAGAACTCTTTAACGACAAACTGTGATAAATCAGATGCAAATAATACAATGATGAATGCAAATTCGATGGCAACAACAACGCTCAATAACACCACCATAAAACCGGATCCCATGAAAATTGATGACAAAAAGGAAGACGATTGTATAATTGTCTCCTCGTCCGGGCCAACGGATATCAAACCATTAATGCAGCCACCAGAACCACAAGAGAAATGGTTTTCCATTGTTAATCGTGAAGTGCCATTAACAACAACCGAACCTCAAAATGCTACCAATCTCAAAGAATTCCAAAAGATGTACTCCAACATAACGTGCAGTTCGCAATATCAGATCCAAGGCCATCCCTGGGATCTGCCCAACAATGTCCAGTATTTCACCGTTACCATGGATGATTGCAAAGCCGATCTATCGAAATTAACACAAGAATGTATTATCTCCCTCTCCGGTTTGGATCAGGACGAAATTGACAAGAAACTAAAAGAATTCGAAGAAAAATTACAAAATTCAAAAAACTCCTTGGAGACTCCTCGTCATCATCAAATGAAAACTGAATGCGGTGAAAGCGACAATATGGATTGCGATGACGAGGAGGTGGGTGAAGAAGCTCTGGACAACAAAAAACCATTGGTAAAACATGAAATGGAAACGAAATTTTTTCCTTTTCCCAAGGACGAGGTGAATGATAGCGGGGGTGGAACAGCAGGAGGCAGCAGTGGCGGCGGCGGGACTGTTAGTGGCGAATGCGGTGACATCTATGATATAAAACCTAAATTGGAAATAAAGCTGGATGAAGCCTTGCAAACATCATTACAAAATATGCACAATATGTCGCTGACAAACATCAGCAACTTCATACAATACGATGTGCCGACACCGCTACAAATGACCCTCGAAGAATCACAAAAGTTAGAGGAAATCAAACGTGAGGGGTTTCCTAAAAAAGTGAAAAATAGTTTCGTACCCTACGATCTGCGTTACAATTGGTGGAAAATTGACACGATGGAACTCTTGCAACAGGTCATTAACTCCCTGAATTCTTCGGGTCTGCGAGAAAAAGAATTGAAAGAGAATCTGACCCGTTTCATTAGCCAAGAGATACCATTGGGATTGCCCTATCCAATGGGCGAGCCAAAAGAAAATGATCCACCATTCGTGTTGCCCGATAAACCCAACGATTGGACACCAAAAATTGCCAAACGTGTGGAAATGGCATTGCTAGAACAATTGGAGGCACTGGAAGATAAAATCGCCTCAGCCTCAATGCAATTGAAAAATTGGGTGCTGCCACCACGAATTGAATCGGAGCTGAATTTAGAAAGTGATGCCGACATTACAGAAGAGGATTTTATTAGCATTATACCGATGATAAGGGAACGTATTATCGATTTAGAAGCCAATATTGAAAGGCGCTATTTGAAACCACCACTAGGGGCACATACGGGTGATGCCCACCTAGCTGCCATTGCTCAAAATCAACAGAATACCCAAACACAAAATTCCGCCAATGCGGCAGCGTACTATCAACAAATGCAACAACAACAGCAGGCTGCTGCTGCCCAACAGCAACAACAACAGCAAGCATTCAATCCATCAGCATTCAATGAACGTGCAATGGCTTTGGCTGCAAATAATGCTGCTGCAGCATCGAATAGTAACACAGATGCCCAAAATTCAACACAAACGCACAATGAAAATAATTCTGGTGGCGATTCACCTTCCAGCAATTGTGATAGTGATAAAGATGAAAAGGTGGAGAATATACCGAAAGGTTTGGTATCATGGCGTGATGCTGTCTCTCGTTCACATACCACGGCACAGCTGGCCATGGCATTATATGTACTGGAATCGTGTGTTGCCTGGGACAAGAGCATTATGAAGGCGGTAAGTGTTGTTTAGTTATGTTTTGAAAAGAAAAGAAATACAATAGTAAATAGATTATATATGCATAGAATATCAAGTGTGTCTTCTATACTATACTACATATATAAATGAAAATTATTTTTTTTAAAGAAATCTGGCCAAGATTAATGAATTAACCCATCCACTCACTTTTATATACACCACAGAGCACACATTTTGTATCATTGTTGTTGTTATTGTGTTTTATTATTTTTTTTTTTTTAATTTGTTTCTTTTATTATTTTGTGTAATGTCCGTCTTCTTCTACAATTTTTTGTGTTGTATTTTGAAAGCTATTAATAAACATTTAGATTTTTTTACTAACATATGAATCGCTTATTTCCATCATTCATAATTTTGGCTGCAATCGTTTATCATTTTATATATTTTGTTATGTTTACTCAGCTTATTTCTTACTTGGTGCATGTTTTGGCTTTGCAAGTATAATTCTCAAAGTGGAATCTGACTCTGATTTTGTATAATTAGAAAATTTTGTCGCGGAGGAAATCAATTTTTGATCCCAAACAATAAGAAATATCTTGAGAATATATCAATTTGAAACATGCGGAATCTAATGTAGGAAATATTTAAAATGCTTCCATAGTCACAATTTATAGATTTTATCTCCAACATATACAATATTATAATAAACAATTCGCAACAATTGCTGGTGGCACCATCGAAAGGCCAATCATTCGATGGTGGCACCAATGGCACCAATAGAAGATTTCGAAAATGGCATCAAAAAGCCTGCCGCCCCTGTTATGGCATCTCAGAATCTTTCTCAAAACTCTTTAACGACAAACTGTAATAAATCAGATGCAAATAATACAATGATGAATGCAAATTCGATGACAACAACAACGCTCAACAATGAGCGGATGACTCACCTTTGTCAGGGAGGCTTTAAAATACCCGAACTGAAACAGGGTAGTTATAATTATGGGCCATTGAAAATTATCTTCAAGGAAGTCTATTGACCTCAGAAAACCAAAAATGTCTAAACAACCTTTTGGCTTACAACAGATCTCTTACACTATAGTTTATTTTTTTTATCGATGCATTAGAAGTCCGTTTAAGTATTTTTTTACTCCCTAATTTCTATTTTATAAAATATAGAGACTTATTCTTGCAAAGATCTCCATTCATCACCCTCCCTTTTTCATAACCCCTATTATACCTAAATGTAGTTGTTGTTGTTTTTTTCTTACTCATTATGACCGTAATTAAGAAATAAAGAAATTTACAAATAATCAATCCAAAAAAAAAACTAATTTTCTAAAAAAATACCTTTTTTCGATTTTTTTCTTTTCCAAATAATATAATAAAAAATATATATTTGTTGTTGTCCAATTGCTACGCACTTATTTTAAATGTTGCTTGATAACATAAAAATCCTTTAAATTTTAAATTAAACCAATACTTTTTGTATTTTTTATTCGGTTTATTATGACTTTTGTGCTTTTATATTTATTACAAATAATTTTCTATGTTTCTTTGACTAAATTTGAAATCAATGGTGAATGTTTTTTTGTTTTGTTTTGGAATTTTTTTTAATAAAAACAAATATTTACCCTAAATCATTTACACAAATATAACTACACTATTTTACGATCACAACACCGTCATCTCTTACATTCATAAATTCATAATTATTGTAACTTTAAATTTGAAAAAAATCCCTAATTCCTTTACACAACACTACCACGAACACCCACCACCTCCTCTTCTCTTGTAATGTGTAATATTTTGATTTTGGGTTAATGGTATTTTAAATATTAAAAAAATAATTAAATATTAAAAAAAAACTTCTTACAATAAATGTAAATATCCACCAATTTCCTTAAATTCCCCTTCCTCACAAACAAATCCTTAATGTTGTTGTTGATTGTTTACATTTTGGCTTATTCGTTCTTATTCACCTCTATAAAAACAACCAAATCTTCCATCAACACACACCTTTACCACCGATTGTCATATGATATTCGAAAATTCGTTCGTTCACCCCACCAAAAGAAAGAAGATATGAAAAAACAAGAAAAATCATCCAAGAAATCGAAAAAGGAAAAGAAATCCAAAGCCAAGAAAAATTCCCACAAACATGATGAGGAAAATGCCGGCAAGCAGCATAAACACAAACATTCCAAGAAAAAGAAATCGAAAAATAAAGAACAAGAACAAGATAGCCTGGAAGATAATCTCAATATAAAGTCATTATTTGAGAATGCAACAACCGCCAACAGAACAACAGCCCTGACAAATGATGATAGCTCAAATGATGCTTCCCGCACCACCACCACAAATGATGAGGAGAACAATGCCTTGAGAGTGTGTGAAACAACAGCAACAACAATCAAAATCAATTTAACCTATCAAACTCCCAAGCAACGTTTTAAGAATGCCCTCAAAGCAGCCAGTTCAACAACAACCTCAAATTCCTCTTCCCCACTTCCCCCTACCATTCCCTCAAACAATATCGTTCAACAAGAAGATGTACAAAACAATATATCTTCATCAAATTTCCCAACAGATGATGAATCTCTATCATCACTCGATTCTAGTCATTTTGCTCAAGAAAATTCCAATAAAAAGAAAAAATCGTCAAAAAAGAATTCCAAAAATTCAAAAGCCAAAACATGTTCACCACACAAGACAACAAATACCCATTCCACAAACACCACCACCAACACAAAACACACAAACGATTCCCATAATTCCCCCCTTTCAAAACTATCGAAATCCAACACAAAAACAACAACAACAAATACTAAAAAATTAGGTAGAAGCCGTAAAAGAACCACATCTACAAACTCTTCCACATATTCGAATTCCTTACAGAATTGCCAGTTCTGCACATCTGGCGAGAATGAGGATAAGCTATTGCTGTGTGATGGCTGTGATAAGGGTTATCACACCTATTGTTTCAAACCGAAAATGGAAAATATACCCGAAGGCGATTGGTAAGTATTTTTAAAAAAGCAAATATGAAAATAATAAATTTTTTTATTTAATTTTTTTCTGGTCTGAAGTTTTTTTGGTTGGTTGGTTATAGAAGTTCAGCAGCATTTATTTCTCAAAACAACAAATTTCAAATTTTTCATTCATCTCATAATCATCGGAATTTTAAAAATCGTTTTTTTACTTATTGTCCGTCTCAAATTCTTGTTAATACTTGTTCGCTGCTACCCTACCATTTTTCAATGATTTCCACCCATCACAATGAAAACATGTTGTCATAATCCACCCTCCTCCCCAAGAAAGCACCAATCCAACACTAAAATTTCAAAATTTATTTGATTTTTTTTCAACTGTTTTTTTTTTTAATTCTCATTTTACTAATCCCTGATGTTCTCTCCTTCTCCTTCAAGGTATTGCTATGAATGCGTCAACAAGGCCACCAATGAACGCAAATGCATTGTCTGTGGTGGCCATCGCCTACCGCCCGTGGGCAAAATGATTTATTGTGATTTGTGTCCGCGTGCTTATCATGCCGATTGTTACATTCCTCCACTGTTGAAAGTGCCTCGTGGCAAATGGTATTGTCATGGTTGCGTTTCAAAGGCACCACCACCGAAAAAACGTTCCTCCACCAGCAAACCTCGCCGTGATCGTGATTCATCCTCATCCACCTCGCTGTCAAAACGCAAAGACAAACATCACAATACATCGTCCAGCTGTGAACAATTAAATACATCGACCGATCATCATAATTTGCACAATTCATCACACGATGAATCAATGACTTCCTTGCCGCCACCATTAAGGTAAGGAAATTTGCACAAACACGCCGAGGGAATGTAGAAAAAAAAATAAAAAATCATATTCTTTAAATTTCTAGTCCCGCCCATTCAGTGGCTTCCACCTCCTTTGATGATCATCACAATAACTCCATAGATACAACGCGCTTCCAAAATCAAGTTAGCAATCGTCAAGGAGCTATGAGTCCGCATAGCAACACCACCGCCACTACCACCCACAATGAATACAACAACGATAACAGCAACATGGATCCCAGTGGAATTAGTACATCCAACAGCAATGCGCCTGCAGTTAATCATGGCCTCTTAATATCTGCCCAACACCAACAATTGATGGGTGGTAATCTTGCCGCCATGGCAGCTGTACAAAATCCCACAACGCCACAGACACCCATGTCCATGCCCATGACAATGCCTTCTCAGCAACAGCAGCAACAACTTTTCAATACAATGACAACATCATCATTGCTGCCGCCTCAATCTCAGGCCATGTCATCATCACTGTTTGCCAATTTGGCCGGCTCGCCTGGCATTGTGGGTTTGAATCAAGCAAACAATCATTTACCACCATACTCAATGAATTCCACTGTGGTGGGTACATCTCTGATACAACCACCACCACCCACCTCAATGGGCATCCCTAGTAGCGGTTCATCGCAACAACCCCAACAAATGCCACCTGTTAGCAATCAACCAATGCCCATTATACCCAGCCAATTACCAATTTCCATCAATATGCCAGTATTATCAGCAGCCGCAACATTACCCACGTCGATGACAACAGCGGCAACATCTTCGTCTACATCTTCGTTAATGTGTTCAACCACTTCGCCACAACATTCCCTAACATCACCACGTTCCTCAACACCCACCCAGGGCCAGCAACAATCAATGCATTTTAATACACCAATGCCGCAACAATTTCAACAACATTCACCACAACTAAATGCTCCAGTCCCGGCCACATCACCAGCAGCAGCGGCATTAACACCACCTATTGGTGGCGGTGGTGGTGCCACAAACACATCGACAGCATTAGGTCCACCACCACCCCTTAACATACATGCAGTGCAGGAGGCTAAGGAGAAAATGAAACAGGAGAAAAAGGAGAAACATGCCACCAAAAAACTAATGAAGGAGTTGGCTGTGTGTAAGACTGTTTTAGGGGAAATGGAGGTGAGTTTTCACATTGAATTTTTTAAGGATAATCATTCCTTAGATCAGAATAATAGTTATCCTTTGTATAAAAACTAAAAGACCAGTAACGACATAGACCAGAAAATGTTATCATGTATGTCTGATCATAATATAACTGAAAATAGGCATAGGAGGACCTAATTATATGACAAGCGTCTTCAAATGAAAGGCCTTTCTTTATATCATGATAGGAAACTCACAAAAATTTATTTTTTCCTAGAATCAAAAATTCTTCAAATTATAATCGAATGAAAAAATCGAATAAAAGATTTCATGAACACTTTCTCTTAGAAGTCCTCACAGTTTTATTTTTCAAAGGTGTCCGTTTTTAGTTCTTCTTTCAAAGAGGACCAGAAATTCTTCAGTAGTAGAAGACAATAAGTAATTAGCATCTATCCCTCCGTAAAAATCAAATTCTCCTATCTTCAATTGAAGACTAAAGACATTTAACCATAGCATAACAAAATGTCTTCTGAAATACATATTTCATATAAGACCAGAAGCCTTATTCCATAGAAGACAACAAAGTATTCTTCTATTGTATTCGCCTTTCATTGAAGATCAATGACCTTCTGCCATTGGTCTGAAAAAATTGTCTTATTTTTCAGAGCTCTTCGTTTTCAGTTCTTCTTTCAAAGAGAAACAGAAATTCTTCCTTCATAGAAGAGAATAATAAATTATGCCACAGAGGAACAAATTGCCCTGTTCCAGATGTGACTAGAATGCCTCCCTCCGTAGAAGACAAACATTTTCCTTTCGTCATTCATTCAAGACCATAGAAGAACATAATGTCTTCTTCTTTAGAAGATATGAAATACTTATATAAGACCTTTATTTTATATAAGACCAGAAGCCTGAATACATAGAAGACCACAAGGTATTCTTTCATAAAAGATCTAAAATACTTATTTCATATAGACTGTGGCGTGTCATTTTATAGTAAACCATTTTATAGTAAAACCGCTTTTATTCTTTTATTCAAAACAAGAGGGTCTTAGTGAAAGTGGGTCTTCTTTCATAGAAGAGCCTCTTCCTTCATAGAAGACCAGAGGGTACTCTTTCATAAGGGTCGCCTTACATGAATGAAGAAGCATCAACTGATCTTTTTCATGCAAGACAAGGTCTTCTTTTACAAAAAATATGGGATCCTTCTTCCATAGAAACAGATGACGTCATTTCATTGATAACCCGAAGGTCTTGTTTCATGAAAATGGATTTTTTATAAAGGATCCTTTTAAAGAATATTTTATTAAGGAATCTAGGCCAATAGACGTGGATTTTAAAGAATATTTTATTAAGGAATCTAGGCCAATAGACGTGGATTTTAAAAAATATTTTATTAAGGATACCTACCCCAGTAGAAATGGACTTTAAAATAATATTTTATTACGGATACCTACCCCAGTAGAAATGGACTTTAAAATAATATTTTATTAAGGATACCTAGGCCTAGGGGTTTTCTTTTATAGAAATCGAAGGGTCTCCCTTTATAGACGAGCATCTTAGAATATCAGAAGATCTTCTTTCATATAATAACACAATATCTTCTAGAATCAGAGGGTCTCCTTATATTGATGACCGGAAGGCTTTGTTTCACGAAAACCTGGATTTTTCAGAGAAAATGGGAGGGTCTGCTTCTATATAGATCAGAAAACCTTCTCTTAAATGAGTTCATATTTACAGTTATAGTTATTTATAGAACGATATCATTTTTATTTATTTCAACTTCAATTAATGAAAAAATAAATTTTTTATCCTCTTTTATTTCACACAGCTCCATGAAGATTCATGGCCATTTTTATTGCCAGTAAATACCAAACAATTTCCTACCTATCGTAAAATCATTAAAAATCCTATGGATTTGTCAACTATAAAGAAAAGACTACAAGAATTAAGGTAAGCACGAAATAACTCCCATTAATTTTTTCAACATTACTAACAAAATTTCAACCCAATTCCCCCCTCGCTCTCTTTTCTTCTGTAGCTATAAAAGTCGTGAAGATTTCTGTGTTGATGTACGGCAAATATTCGATAATTGTGAAATGTTCAATGAAGATGATTCACCAGTGGGTAAAGCTGGTCATGGTATGCGTAAATTCTTTGAAATGCGTTGGGCTGAATTGACCGATAAACATTCATGATATCAATTGCAACAACAACATACAGCCGCCACAGCAACAACAGCATCATCAGCAACAATTGTAACAGCTGCGGCAACATTACCACAGATCCAACAACAACAACAGCAGCCACAACAAACACAACTCAAATATAATAGTGAATAAGTGAAAAAGATGATGAAGAAGAAACAAACTTAATGGCTAAGGACGAAGCTGAATTGAATACTATCCCCACACAATAATACATACATGCATACACATACATTAATACTGTAAAACAATGAAATGTAAAACATTTTATTTAATTTTATTTTTTGTTTACAACAAAAAATCCAACACACACACAGATAAGTAAATTAATTTATCATATTATCTCTATATATAGTGACATAATTATAAATATTAACGAAATAAATAAATAAATAACAAGTGGAACGTAAGAGAAAGCTAAAAAGAAACTCTTTCACATACACACACATCCCAAAAGAAAAAACTCTTCCCGCGTAAAATTTTTTAGAACTAATATTTCAAAATCTTATTGATAATAAAAGAAAAAAATGCTTGAACAGGAAACAGAAAAGGAAATGTATTTAAAAAGAGATGCATAAAAACACAACAAGCTCACATCTATAACTATAAAACACCAAAATACATACATTTACAATCGGCTGAAGAAAAAAAAATTAATAATAATTGGATTTTAACAAAAACACAAGAAAAAAGGCTTGCAGAATATTTTTGTTATAAAAAATTACGAAACACAAGAAAACATCTTAGAGATTTTTTTGTTTTACAAAATAATTATGTGCCGTAATTACATGTTTTTTGTTATGGATTGGATTTTAAAGGGTAAATTAATACAATTTTTGAACAATAAAGCCTACGTTGGCTGTTCTATTTTTCTATGACCGCTATTAAAATCTGAAAATTGATTCGAAAATCCCTCCCAAAAGTTAACTTGTATTAACGGTCGTATGAAATATGGTGCATCATGTTGGTCTGTGGCATTGATTTTTAAAGTAAATCAGTAAATCAGTCTTATAAATAAAATCGGGAATATTTTGGATATTTAGTTATAAAATACATTTTTGTAAAATATGAAATAACAAATTGCATGCACACATGGTTAACAATTATTTGTATTATTTAAAATTGTGTATTGATTTGATTTGTTATATTATTATATATTTATTCGAACATGGGATACCCAAAAATTTCAACAAAAATTAAGCGAAAATTCTAGAGGATTTCAACTATTAAAAGAATGAAAATTAATCTGAGAATAAATATTTTTTTCAGATATTTTTTTCATAAATTGTGAATTAATTGTCGTGTTTTGTTCCCAAGTGATCATTTAAAACACACGACGATTATTGTCTAGATTTTCCTATTATAAAAACCAGTTTCGATTTCAATTTTGAAAATATATTCCTGTTCTAGGAAAAACTTTTTGTACTTTCATATTAAATTCCTTTAGAATTCCATTACTTTAAATACCATAGTTTTTTTTTGGAAACAGAAATTTGCTATCGTCTGCCCCATTTGCTAATATGTTGGCTAATTTGGGGAGTAATTGTTTCGTCGTATTCATGGACCGATTTATTCTCATTATCTTTGGACTATGCGAAGATATTCAAAACTATTTCTTCTCTACGAAGTTTTTGTACTAAACATGATATTATTGTCTGCCTCCAAATAAAAATTTTCGGGTCAATAATTTTTGCCCTTTTTGACTATTATTTCCTCCGAACACTTCATTAAAAAAATGGTTTTATACTGAGTCATGTTATATATTCCTATTTTTCCAGAGGATTTTAAGGTTTTACAAAACCCAAAAGCTTTCTGAAAAAATAAATATAAATAGTTTTTTTTGAATAAATGTAGAGGTTTTATGGAAGACCGAAAGGCATTCAACAAAAGGCCACTATGAGAACTTGTTTTACAGAAGACCATCGACCCGCTTCCATTGAACTACAGAGAATCCATAGATGTCTACAAGTTCTACTTTCATGGAAATAACTACATAAAGATCCCAGGGGAATCTTTCATAGAACATCAGAAACTCTTTTTATAGAAAAACGAAAAATAAGGTAAAAAATCGTGTAATAGGCATTTATCTTTTCTACCTTTCTTGAATTCGTACATCAATTAATTTAGCTAACAGATAGATACTATAAATTTAAGGGCTTAGAAATATAAATTAATTAATTTATTATAAATTAATAATTTCTTATAAACTTCATGTTTCACAATCAAGAATTTGAGAATCAAAAACAATAATTTTCATATATATTGTATTATATACTATTTTCAATATTATATGCTTGCATCCCATTTTTATATATATATATATATATATATATCTTATATTGGCAAATATCCAAAACATTCCCCTGAATTTTTTATCTTTTCTGCAGTAAATACGGTAATCTAATAAACGAATTATTTAAAATCCGGGCCATAGGACCAACAGCATTTTAATTTAAAACTAAAAATGTAACTTTATAAAAATCCTTGCAATAATAAAAATCGTACAAAATTGCCAGCAAAGGAAAAAAAGAACAAAGCAGTAACCAACATATACATACACATAATTTCCACAAATTTTAATTAAAAAAATAAATAAAAAGATATACTGAAATTTATTTCAGTTAAAAAACGTATACTCATTACTAAAAAAACAGAAACAAAACAAAATATAAATGTATTTTATTTTTTAACTTAAATTATTTTGTTTTAAGTTATGGTTTTAAGAATTTATTTTTATACACTAACTGCTACACAACTATTTTGTATTATTATTAATTTTTTTGTATTTTTTCGCAAAAGTAAAATATATATATATATGAACTAACTAAACAGTATTTTCTTTTTATATATTAGATATATTAAAAACAAAACACAAAAAAAAATAAAAATGCAAAAAAAACTAAATTAAAATATAGGCTTTCTTTAAAAAGGAAAGGCTTAAATAATGAAAGAACAAAAATGAAATAAAAAAGAAAACAGAACAAAACAAAATTCGTATTATAAAAAAGTATATAATAAAGTAAACAGAATAATCACAATATATAAAACATTAAAAAACAACAACATAATGTACTTTGTAATTTATAAATATTTGTATTTGTTGTACTTAGTTTTTAGTTACACAAAAAACACACACACACAAGAAACTTACATTCTTAAAATTAAAAGAAAAACACAAACAATGAACAAGAAAGAACAAAACAATGTATAAGAAATAAAAAAAACACAATTAATATAAATATTATTTTTTAACGTAAACACAAAACTGAAATCATTTTACACTCACACACAAAAAACAATGCATCATAAGAGCACATCAATACACACACAGAATATAAATATATATAAAATAATATTATTATTATATATAGTTGCATTATTACTATAGTTATTATCATTATTAATATAAAACAACAAACTACACACATTTTTTTAACTATATATACAAAAATATGAAAAATACAGTACCAGTATTTAAGTTGTAAGATTCACAAAACATATAAATATATAAAAATTAACTATATATACAATATAAAACAAAACATATATCACCAATTAATTTTAACATTTCCTGGCAGCTTGTCTCACTCTCTCTCTCCCTCTTTAATGAATTCCTTTTGAAAAAAAAATTATTTGTATTGTTTCGGTAATGTATGTTTTTTAATTTATTTCCTTTTATTTTTTACGAATACTACTCGATCTTTCGCCACACACTCGTATATACAGATATATATATAAATACTTTTGTATCGTTTTTTTAGTTATTTATAAGTTTTAAACAAATTTAAATGTTAATATAAATCCTACTTTTATAAATATAATATAATACACATATTTTAAAACAAAAAAGAACAAATTGATTTTTGATTGAACCTAGTGCAGACTTCGCTTTTTAATTTTAAAACAGTCTAAATTTTTTGCCGCAGCCTGTGATCATGAAAAAAAAAATATTTTTCCAATTCAGACTTCAAAATCTTAATAATTGGTTTTAGAATTAGTGTCATGGAAATGCATGACATTTTGGAAGCTTAATGTTTGAAATAGAACGTGAAAAATAAGCTAACATGGTAGTTTGAACCCATATTTTTGTCGCAATATAAAGTCAGATTTTTAGAATTACCACATCAATTTGAATATATGTTAATGTAAATTTCCTGTTCTCCAGCAGAATTGTTTTCTATGACGGCTTTACGACCCACGAAATACTCATCCTTTATGTGCTTATATTTATAGAAGACCCGACGAAATCTTTCTGTCTAAATATCTTTAGTAGGTTTTCAATAGGTTTATGCTCATAAAATTTCCTCTGTCTATAGAATAGTTTTAGGACGACACTACTAGTTTTCGAACATTACCCCAGGAAAATCAAACATCAACAATTGACTTGTTTGGTTTTAGACATAGTAATTGCCGCAAATAAAAATTTAAAGAAACCGCAGACAATCTAAGTTATCAACTGTGCATGAAGATCAGTTTGCCAGAATTAGTGTAGACATTCATAGACATTGATTTGTAGATGAATTGCAAGGACTTTGTAACTAAACCTAATACTCCTCGAAGTGAACAGTATGAACTAGGATTTTTGACTTCGCTCTAAATTTAACAAAAATGCGGACCTTTGAAAAAATATTTTTGAAAATCACCGATTTTTTTACCAAAAACCAAGTTAAAATATAATGAGGATCTTCACCGATTGGCTTTATCCTAGTAGTTCTTCAAGAGTTCTTGAGATTTTCACTTGAAATTTTGTAGGGACATTCATTAATTAGTGTAGATTCGAATTATATCAAAAAAAAATGACCCCGAGAATGGGGGGTCCCCTTAAATGATTTTCTTCTTTGGAATATAATTAAGTATAGAGAAAACCATCAGAGGAATAATCTTAGGTGGTCTATAAAAAATTCTCACTGATCCCGCCGCCGGCGATGCTGCCCAGATACCGGCTCGTACCCGACTGTATTCGAATAAAGTCGGGTACGAATTCACATAACACCCCAGCGTTAGGTAGTC